GTGCTCGTTTTTGTGCACTGGAAGCGTTTTTTGTTTTTTGACATACATATATGTGAATGATTTTGCATGCCCAACATCAATAAAGATTATTATTATTATTTTTATTATTATTGTTATTATTTCCGCTTTTCCACAGCTTCTTTCTGCTGGTATAATTTGGTTGGAGGATGTTAGGCGGATATCGTCTCAACCAAAGGGACAGCACCATTTCTGGAAGACGGTATTTATTCTAAGTACAAAAATCTTCGTGTTATATGGCATGTATCTGAATACGACTGCTTTCTGCATATGTTGCTAGATATAAGGTTCCAGGTCTAGCTCTTCCAGTGATTTAAATAGGTTTCGTGGTATAGTTCCTATATTGGATAAGACTATCGGAATGATTTTGACCCTGTCCACTCTCCATAGGTCTTTTAATTCATAGGTAAGGTCGATATACTTATTGAACTTCTCTGCAAATGTTTTTCCCATGTTTGTGACATTAGTCACCGCTATGTCGATGAGCAGGACCTTTCCTTTTTCTTCCATATGGTGATATCTGGTCTACTATGAACTAGGCTCTTGTCTGTGATAATGCTTCTGTCCCAGTAAATTTCGTATTTTGTGTTCTCCAGGATGGTTTCAGGTTGATATTAGTAGTACCTTCTTTTGTTCCAATTAGGCCGTAAATAAGAGCAAGCTCTTGGTGGATAATTTTGCCAACTTCGTCATGACTTTGTTTGTATTCTGTTTGTGCTATAGTTTGACAGCCTCCTATTATATGGTGTATGGTTTCACTAGTTTGTTTACATCTCCTGCATACATCTGATTGTTAATTCTCTTTTAGGATGTATTTCCTATAATTGTTGGTCTTTATGATTTGATCTTGGATAGCAAGCATGAAACCCTCCATTTCTGGGTATAAGTCCCCACGGGCTAGCCAGTTGTAAGTCGCTTGTTTGTCTACACAGTATTGGCTAACTTCATAGGTATACCTTCTATGGACAGCTTTCTGCTGCCATTTGATCATCTTTTCTTCATCTGTTGTTATTCCAAGTTATTTGTTGGTATCACTAAGTTCTAGTCTTGTGTAGCTGTCTATCTGGAGGATTGCTGTGTAGTAGTGCGACTGAGGCTGCCTCTGATATAAATATTGACTCAATTGCAATATGGTTTTATTGTGCATGTTTGTTATGTCCATGAGACCCCTACCGCCGTCCTTTCTTTTAAGTGTTGTTCATTCTACTACCGATTTTGGATGGTGAACCATGTGTTTAGTCATCGTCTGTGTTTGTATATATTTCAGTTCTGTCTATGACCACTTGAGTATACCAAACGTGTAGGCTAGTAGTGGTATGGCGTATGTGTTGATACCTTTAAGGAGGTTTTTGGTATTTAGTTTTGATTTGAGCACTAGATTGAGTCGTTTGTAATATTTTCCCCTACTCACACATTTCATTGTTTTATTCTATTATTGTTTTTGTAACATTCCCAAGTATTTATATGTATCAAATTCATCCATTGGATCAATTGGAGGAAATTCGGTACTTTCCAGTTTATTAGTTTTATGCCCTCCTTTAAGTATAGTTTGTGTTCTGCACTTTTCTAGGCCAAATTCCATTTTTGTATCACTGGAGAATATGTGTGTTAGTTCCAGCAGATGTCTCAGCTCTTGTTCTGTATTAGCATACAGTTTGATATCATCCATATATAGTAGATGTGACAGTGTATATTTAACCTCCTTTTGATGCTTAATTGAGATGCCCTTGTTTGTTCTTCTTAGGATATTTGATAGAGGGTTAGTGCCCAAGCAAAGCCATAAGGGGCTAAGGGCATCCCCTTATGAGTTTGATTTTCCATTTATTTCAATAAATCTTTTATCAACCGACTTAATTTATAAATATCCAATATTTTCAGAAACCAGCTATGAGGAACCGAGTCGTAGGCCTTCCTTAAGTCAATATATGCTGTGAACATGTTTCGCTTTTGTTATTATTAATATTATTATTATTATTGGTGTATTTGTTTTCTCTCATCTTTGGACGGTTTTCAGGTGTAAACACGGAGCTCGACAGCAGCTCTGGGATATTTACCTTAGCACTTTCCTTAGCATATGTGCGGTACACAACAATGCAATCTTTTGGATTTTAGTTTCCCTGGACCGGTTTGGTAACATTTGAAGGTAGTTGTTTAGACCAATTTTAATTGTTCGTATGGCGCCTACTACTATGGGTATAGTTTTAGCTCTAACATGCCACATTCTACTGATCTCTATCTCTAGGTCTTTATATCTGGAGATATCAGATTCTTTCAGCAGCAGCAGAAGGCAGGTCTTTTGTTGTTTGTTGTAAATCACAATATCAGGCCGATTTGCTCGGATTGTTCGATCAGTGATGTCTGACAGTCTTTGCTGAAATGATAAAAATTTGAAATTTTAGAAAGTTATCCTAATTCTAAAGCACAAAGACATAATACTACATATATAATGTACCCTTATTTATAAGGCAACGGTTTTTTCACCACTTTATTCAACTTTTCAATAGAAATCATTGATATTCAGAAAGCTTTGACAGCTTCCGTCAAATTGTATTTCGATAAGGAATTTTCCCATTGGTCCAAGGGACCGTTAAATATTAATGTTGGTGAAATCGGTCCTATGTGACATAATACAACGCAACACCTAGAATTATTTATTGAATTTTGATAGAAACTTGTAAAAATATATTTCCTATCATGGACGTGTACGCTGATAAAATGTTGAAGGTATTCCTTTTTTTTTGTAAAGGTTATTTTTGTGATATCAGATTCCAAACAATATGACCATCTCTACTTAATTATCAGTGATTTTTCTGTGTTGGATCCATTTATTGCATTGCTGTTTCATTGCATTATCATGGCATAGTTCTCAGAGGCGCTAATTTCATTCATTTTTCCGAGTTTGAGAGGGGTGAATAATCGGGTGAATCGAAACGAAGCTACTGCTATTTGCCACAACAAGGACAGCTGCGAACTAGTGGCCTTTTGGACTGTTTTCATACCGTCCCCATCTTGTACTACCTCTGACCCCACATCATCATCAGAGACTTGAATGGAATATGGATTGGAACTCAGTCGTGTTCAACGATAAGACCAGATCCTGTTTGGGTACACCAATATTCTATCGCACGACATATTCATCGCAGTGTAGATGTTATGGTATGTGGTGCCATTACTTACGACAGCAGGTGTCATTAAGCCTTAGCACTCTTTTTGGAACGTGCTCGTAGTACTTGCTAGTCACGGGCAACCCTAAATCTTTACAGATGGTCCATTGGACACAATAGCGACGCTGTTATGCCTGTGCGTGTACTAGCTGGATGCCAGCACCTTCCAACCTGCTATTACGTGACTGATATGCTTTTCTGCCTGACCACATACTCTCTACTGGCTGTCTGTTGTCTGTCTCGCCCTTTAGTCCAGAGCTCTGTAATCACGCCATTGTCGCATGTTTGTCTATGGCTGGCTTATTATTATTATTATTATTATTATTATAATAATAATAATAATTATTATTATTATTATTAAAACTTGTTCATAGCTACACACAGCATGCATTTCGTTAAAATATAAATGCGATTTTTTATTGGCATGTGGCTTATGTCCATTGATCCAGCAGTGGGTATGCGATGACCGATAGACAAATCAAGAGATAAGAACATGAGATAACTCTACCATGCGAGATTTAAAAAAACGTTGGTGAATGCCTGGAATAGAAAAACGAAATGCCTTTGTTTAACACTACTTGCTTGACCTCGGGCACCGGCAATAGAGGCTTGAATATTGGCTGAGAACATCATTTGACACCGCGTTATTTTCGATGCATCACTATTGCGATCCCCACGCTAAACATAATTTGTTCACCGTCACAGTTTCCCGTTATGGTGCTACCAGCACTATGATTTATTCATTTTCCTATTTATCCGCCTAACAGCTGAATAGCATTTTTTAATAATGCAGGCCCAACATATATTATTAAATATGATATATTGTCGGATCAATTTGGAATATATGGAATATAACGTACACTGCTAGAATTGGATCGCCTGGGTACGGCATTTGCACAGCAATGCAACTCTTTAGAGACTGCGCTGAATTTTTGGACTGCTGGCAGCACGTTCTGAGAAGATTCCCATTAGGTGATTTGGCAAAGTTCTATAGCATGTCCAATGAAAGTGTGTTCTAAGAATGTGCTCTTCAGGACCTTCACTCGCTCTAAGAATATTCTCAACAGGTGATTTAGCACTTTCCCAAAGAACACACATACACCCATTGGTTGTCTATTAGAGCTTTCCACCGCAGATATCCAAGATATCCACTGGATCGTCAGGTAGATATACAGGGTGACTTCGAAGTTGAGTCATTTATTTTAACAGTGAGTAGATCTGATCAAAAGAAATGTTTTTTTCCTTTACCATTTTTCTGGTAAAATTAAAGTAACAAAGTTATAGCCCTTTGGAAGTTTGAGTACCGCCCTGTCTCAATAATGATATTATGTTCTCGTGTTTGGCAACAACAGATATAATCCGCCTTATCCGTTCATCGCATCGGAAACAAAAAAGCGAAAGAATTTGGAACGATCTTTTTACAATTATTTTCTTCAGTTGTATACAGTCAGTATCAGTCGGTAGTCGGTAACGCGTAAGTGAATAATCGTGTCTGTTGCGAGGCTCAAATCAAAAATGGCACATGTTTACGAAAATGCTGAACTTGTGGACATGGTTCTTATTTACGGGGAGTCTTTACAAAATGCTGCCGCGGCATCACGGATCTATGCGGATCGGATTCCCAATCGAGTGCAACCAACCCCTCGTGCCTTTGTTAACCCTTTGAGCCCCACTGGTTAGCACCAAAAACCATCTTTCAAAGCTCATTTTGCTATTTTCCTAGCGGTATCCCTGGCTAACCATAGTGTGTAACCTAATGCCTAATGCATGCTGAACCTGTATTCAGCGGAAACAAACGAAATAAACTTATATTTGGTGCGTATTCCTGCTTCGTATAACGTGAAATGTCCAAGCAGGTTAACGGCTAGTACAGGGTGAAGATTTTATAGATCAATTAGTAGTTTTTTGGTGAAAAATTGTATAAAAATGGCTGGTAAGTACAAATAATCTGTGTATATGGCTTATTATGGTCGAATTTTGCACGCATCTGATTTCTGATTCGCAAAATATCACATTATTTATGGTGGTTTTGTGTAGTAACCACTAGGAAAGTACCCAACTTTTGTTTTTTGACAAAAGTTATTTATGTGTAACTTTGTGACAATTTTTAATGTCAACTAATATTTTCTGGTTTCATTTACGTGACCCATTCTTTTCAGCGAAAAAAAAATGGTCGATCGCTGAATTGGAAAGTATGAGCCTAGCTGATATTTATAAAATTGTAGAGGATGTAGACGAGGTACCTAGTGATAATGAGTCAGTACTAGATGATCTGGACGCTGTTATGAGTGATGAAATACCCATTACTCAAGAAAATGCTGACCTAAATAATGATCTTTTCAATCTTCGGAATATGGATGTCATTTTTGAGGACTTGATCGAAGATGAAAACTGCTCTTTAGACAATGCGCAGTGGGAAAGTGACGATGATATTCCACTAGCTAGAAGAAATGATATATTTCTGCCTTGCTACTGGACCAAAGATACAGTATACATCAACAAACCAAGCAAATTTGAAGAAGAGGCTGGCCCCAATTTGCCTAATATCATTGAAACACCTACGGACGTTTTTTTGCACCTATTTCCTGAAGACCTCATCGACCATATTGTTTTTCAAACAAACTTATATTGTGTACAGAAATTTGGCGATGGAAGAAACTTCGTTCCTACAACGAAGGATGAAATCAAAGTTTTCTTCGCTGTAAACTTGCTGATGGGTGTAAAAAGGCTACCCAGTTATAAAGATTACTGGTCGTCAGATGAAGTGCTCAGAGACTCATTTATTAGTGGCTGTATTTCCAGAGAATGGTTACTAAGTAATATTCACCTCAATGATAATTCCGTACAGCCCAAAAAGGATTAGTCATCATATGACAAACTTTATAAAGTGAGGCCACTTCTTTCCAGATTACAAGAGACATTTCTTTCTTCACTAAAGCCAAATGAGTTTCAGTCAGTAGATGAATCAATGATACGGTTCAAAGGCCGCAGTAGTATCAGACAGTACATGCCAATGAAACCTATAAAGCGCGGTTATAAGGTTTGGGTCAGAGCAGATTCCAGTGGATACATGTGTGAATTTCAAATCTATACCGGCAAGGTGGATCACGCTCCAGAAAAGAAATTAGGAGAGACAGTTGTTATAGATCTAAGTAGAAACTTGGTTGGAAAAAACGACAAGATTTACTTTGACAACTTTTTCAATTCTGTCGTGTTACAAAGACAGTTGATCAACAATAAAATATACTCCTGTGGTACCTTACGAAAGGGTAGAAAGCACTGTCCTGAATTCAAGTCAGACAAGGATATGAAACGTGGTGAAGTCGATTGGCATGTTTCCAAAGATGGTTTAGTTGCCCTGAAATGGGTAGACCGGCGTAGCATACTTATATTGGGAAATCACAATGATCCCTCTGTTTTAGATACAGCATCTAGAGAAAGAAAAGACGGCTCTCCAGAGGATATACCATGTCCCCAGATGGTTTGTGAATACAATGCCCATATGGGCTATGTGGATCGCTTTGATATGTTGAAAAGTCTCTATGAAGTTAACAGGAAAGCACATAAGTGGTGGCATAGAATTCTATTCTACTTCCTAGATGCTTGCGTTGTAAACAGTTTTATACTCTTCCAGCTAAGAAGTAACTCTAAGGGATTAACTCTGAAAAAAATTCGACTGTCTTTGGCACGAGGTCTCATTGGAGTAATAGAACTCACTAAACGAGGAAGACCATCTTTTGCACCTACTGTAAATAGATTCAAGAAGGTGGTACCCTATGAAGTACGATACTGTAAGGCTTCTCACATGCCTGAAAGATCTACATCTCTTAGATGCTCCCACTGCAGTACACTTGATAATCCACATAGAACTATATGGAAGTGTTCGACTTGTCATGTGGGATTATGCTTGAATAAAGATAGAAACTGCTTCTCACTGTTTCACAAAAGATAACTTTTTTTAATTCTTTTTTGAAAGTGTACCTTAGTTCCTGGTGGTTAGCGTTGGTGACCACGTCCTGAAGGATAGCTACACATGTTTATTTGAGAGTACTTTGTTTTAGAGGTTTATTTGTACTATTTTTAACTCATTGTTCAATAAATTTTAGGAGTTTGTGAATTTTAATTAATTTCGGGCTCAAAGGGTTAATGTAGTGCAAAGAGCTCGTGAATCAGGTGACTTAAGACCTCACAGAGGAGATCATGCCGGTGCTCCAAGACCACACGATCAAATAGAACTAGAAGAACAAATTTTAGAATTAGTAAGTGATGATCCAACAGTAAGCACCCGACAAATTTCAACTCAATTGGCGATTAGTCAGTATAAAACTTGGAAAACTCTACGTGAAAATCAGTTCTATCCGTTTCACATACAAAAAGTGCAGACCTTACAACCGGAAGATCATGAACAAAGGGTTGACTTTTGCAATTGGCTTTTAAATAAACATCAAAATGATGACAATTTTTTAAAACAAATTTTAGTGAGTGATGAAGCCCTCTTTACTAGAAACGGAATTATTAATTCACGTAATTCTCACGTTTGGGCTATTGAAAATCCCCATGAAATAAGGGAAACCAATTTTCAACAGCGATTTGAACCAATCAACCTGTGGGCGGGAATTGTTAATGGAATTTTAGTGGGGCCTTTTGAATTACCAAATCGCTTAACTGGTGAAAATTATTTTGATTTCTTGCAACACAATTTGCCTGGTTTACTGGAAGATGTGCCTTTAAATATTAGACAAAACATGTGGTTTTTACAAGATGGGGCACCACCCCATTATGCAAGAAATGTGCGTGAATTTTTAAATAGACAATTTAATAATCGTTGGATCGGCCGTGGCGGTTTTGTACCTTGGCCGCCAAGGTCTCCGGACTTAAATCCTTTAGACTTTTGTTTGTGGGGTTGGCTAAAAACTCTAGTGTATAAAACACCGGTTAATACACGCGAAGAATTACGTGCTCGAATTGAGGAAATGAGTACAGTGATCAGAAATCAACCAGTGATTTTATTGCGTGCTTGTAAATAGACATGGCTAAGACGCGCCCAGCTGTGCGTCGAGTAAAACGGAAATCATTTCGAACAGTTTTTGTGACATGCTTTTGGGCGCACAGGTCCGCACTGAAATACTTGTCGGGAGGATACTTTATAAAACAAGGTATCATTTTTTATTTTTTTTTATTTTTACACACATATTTTGGTTTATCTTCCTTCTACAATCATTATCTGAAAATTAATGACTCAACTTCAAAGTCACCCTGTATATCGTCGCTTGAATGCAGAAGTATTCTAAGTCACAAAATGCAAATCTTACAGAAGAGCTATTTTTCGTGTTTGTGTTTTGCCTAACATTTATGAGAACTTTTGGACATAGAATGTTTTACCGGAAATAAAGTAAAGTCCGTGAAAGTCGACTTATATTTTTTGCTGGCGTTGGACTTACAGTAGTTCTGTAAGTGATTATCTGCTCTAGTCATAGTTCTGCAGCAAAATGACGCGCCTCAAGCTGTTACGCCTAATATCGTTCAAGACCAGTAGTGGGGGAACACTTGCGTAGGGACATCAATACCTCTGCATGCAATGTAGGTGACTATGACCTACAATGTCGTGTTAAAATCTGAAAAATGAAAATTTGTTTTGTTTATTTAATATACCCAACTGATATTCACTGAATGTTCGTGAAGTATAAAGTCGTTCGTCATAGAAATATCTGCTTCAGGTATATCCAGATGATCACCCATAGCTTCGTGAACCTGTGAAGTCCAAATACAAAACGAAAAATGATAATTGAAGACCTAACAAAGCAGAGTAATGATGTATTCACAATAAAATGTGTATATCATATGCTTATATTAATGTAAAGTCAATGTCCCCTTCTATCGTATTCCAGTGGTCGCTCCGAAACACGCACATGCGCGATAGGCCAAAATATCCACCTGGTGAATTCTGATAGAATATGCTTTACACGTGCCAGGAGCATCCTTTTTCTTACCTGACCGAATGTTACCGTCACGGGACAAGAAATTACATTACCGTTCCAAATGTTCTTGAAGCGCATATTCTCTAAACTTTCGTCAGGTTATGATTTAATGGGATATGAACAGTATGTGCTGAGAATATGCGTTATTAGGATATTTATCTTTTTTATGATCTCAGATGCATATTCCAAGAATGTGAAGATGAAGATATCTTTTCATGTTTACTGGGAAAGAACCAAGAGCCAACTGAATTGACTATGAATCGGTGGTCATCCCAGAAGTCCAATAAGCCGCAGAAGTTCATCTTGGAAGCTGTAATGCTTTGTTGATAAGGTGGATGCGCAAACCACTACTATCGTCGGGAGTTGCGTTGCTCTATATTTTTTGACCGCTGAATGACACCACATATCCTCAGCTCGCTGCAAATGCAAGATAACTCCATTTTATTTGAAAGAAATGTTCACGCCACTGATCCTCACCTTTTGATCCGTGTTGACAAACGTGTACATCTCAATTACTACAAATTTCGACGATTTGTAGGCTCGAGTTTCAACTAACATCAGTGCCAGCAACCGAGATGGCCGAAGAGCTGGTAGCAACTTCGTCTCTGACTGCTTATGGGCGCTAAATCTGGTACAGTTTAATGCTTCCAAGACACTGTACTTGTACCCTGACCAACAAGAGGCGCCGTAGCGTTTATCCGGTTATCGACAAGTCCTGTCAAAGAGCCATCTTTTATCTAGTTGGAGTCCAGATCACCGAGGGCTTGATTTGGCCTGGACACATCTTGCCAATCTCAAAAGCTTCTGGTAACAAGCTATTTTATTTTTTCAGGACTAGAAGTGCTTTGCTTCTCAAAATCTCTTCAATCTGTACAAGGCTGAGATAAGATCCAGCTCCGAGTACTGCTCACATGTTTGGGATGCTGTCCCCACTACATTGGCTATGTTCTATATTCTATATATATATATATATATACTATATATATGACGGGTCGTCAGCGTTCTGGCTCTCTTCTACTCCTGTGACAATGTGTTTGCTCCTCAGAGCTCTCCTTCATAATGCCGCCACGTTTTCAGCCTATCAGACGGAATCGCCAGGGGCCTGTCCATTCAAACTCTGTCAAATAACCAGAACTGGCCGGTATGACCGCTCCTCTGATCCTAGGGTATCAAGATCTATTCTGCAAACCTTGGACAGTTCAAAAATCAGATGCTGTCTTCAAGCTACCTATAGCAGTCGCGTTTCCCCGGTATTTTGGGTTTCTGCTTGAGTGTCTGCATCGGTGTGACAAAAAAACAGAGAATTATCAACATGAAATCTATAGGATGATGTTTCGTTGCGTTGCTGTGTCTTACTGTATATGCTGTGACTTCGGGTAGGGGGATAGGGGGGTAGAAGGTGCAGCCAACATTTACAACACATCATAACCCTTGCATGACATGACAACTTTTCGGACAAGAACGGAAGTGAAATATGTGTATGCGATGAAAGGTGATAACTGAATATAAATAATTAATGTTGTCCTACTCCCAGACCACGAATTTACGCTATTTGACAGGATAATAACGTGTTTTTCGATCGAGATGTCTACATTCTCCTTGACAATTAATGCTTTCGGCAACGACGAGGCTTTCATTATTTCCAGCTAGTTATTTTCTAAACCAGTGACTCCCAAAATGGCCTGTTCCTGAGTTCGATGTGTCTTACTCGAAACGTACCTTACCACATAATTGTCATCAAAATTTCATAATAATCGGTCAGCTCAGAGCTATTTTGGAAAATGTTACAAAAACATGTTTTGAAAACCATATATCTATGAAAGTGGATTTTTGATATAATATTCATGTGAGCAGTTCTTACGCGTTCTAAGCGATGGCCCCGATT